TCTGCACTGAATGGATAGCGCCTTTCCCATTCCTGAATGAAAATGTCAGGCCCAGAAACAGCCCTTCCCTTTTGCCCGGGAAGCTCCACCACTGAGCTACAGCACTACAGCCCTTCCTTTACTGCAGTTAGGCTACGTTGCCTTTTGCATAAACATTTCACTGGGCTTAACGTTTCCTGAAGCCGCTGGTGCTTGTGACTGCAACTGATGCACTAAGTCTGAGGGAATTTGATCAGCCTAATGCCTGACTTGCTGCTCTTTTTCTGCTTACTCCCAGGCAAGTGCAGGAGGACAGCGATACCAAACTGGTGCCCACTGTTGTGCTCCAAGTCTGTCGGCTATTCTGTTTCCCGTTTGCTCTGGATATAGACTCAGAAACTGTAGAATATATCGTAGCAAGACTGAAGGACTCTCAAATCCCTGCCCATTTACTCCAGGTAAAATCTGTTCCAGCATTTAGGTCAGTGGTGGCGAACCTATGGCATGGTGCCAGAGGCGGCACTCAGAGCCCTCTCTGTGGGCCTGCACGCCATTGCCCCAGTCCTAGGCCTTCAGCTGGGTTTTATAAAACCTTTTCGCTTTAGGCCTCCGCCGCCGTGTGGAAAAAAAAAAAAAAGGTTCAATCAGTCAATTCCAACTTCTCGTGGGAAAAAAAAAGATCTCGCAAAGTTGGAATTGATTGATTGAACTTTTTAGTCCCACCCAGTCTGCCGTTACCACCGCAGCTGTGCCCACCCAATGGGCCACACCCACCCGGCACTCGATGATGCATAAGTGGGTTTTGGGTTGCAGTTTGGGCGCTCGGTCTCTAAAAGGTTCGCCATCACTGACTTAGGTACTTGCAAGGGGTTGTCAGGGGGAGTAGCTTTATAATTCCCTATCTGTGCCCTGGCTGCTCTTTTTCCTGCATTTCATCCTGTTCTCTGGTGACTGTGCTTATTATCTACAACCTAGATAACCATAGAGAAGTTGTACTTTTGGCATAGGATAGAAATTCCAACCTTTGGAAAACATAAATGTCATGCTGTTCTTCATAAGAATATCGATCCGTTCCTGGACTCCCTCCTTTGCTCTCTTTTCCTTAGGTCTCCATTCAACATCTTCCCATCTCAGAGACTGAGTTGCCTTTGAGCCTTTTATGCCGCTTGGTATTGAGTGATGAGGCAATCATTGACCAAGTGGTGGAAGTAGCCACTTCAGAACAAGCCATTGTCTTCTTGTCAGCCATTTTGCTTTCAGATCAGGTAGCTGTTACCGCAGATCTACTCTCCCTGCTCACTCACATAGCCCGGGCCAGTCCAGCTCACTTGCCTTTCCTGCAGAAGCTCCTGATCGACTCAGATTCAGCTTCCCAGCTGTTGAACCATGTGCTTTGCCATCAGGAGTGCCTAATCCGAGCCAGAGCTTGTAGCCTTGTAGGCAATCTACTACGACATGGACAAGGATTTCCTCATGTATTGTGGGACAAGGCAGGGCTGCAGGAACCTTTGGTGGATTGTCTTTCAGATGAAGATGAACACGTGCGTTGCTCAGCCAGCTTTGCTGTTGGTAATGCAGCCTACCAGGCCGGTCCGTTAATGCAGGGTTTTAACAAAGCAGTGCCTTGGCTTGTTCGGCTCCTGGGAGATTCTCAGGCAAGGACCCGTTGCAATGCCGCTTCAGCACTGGGCAACTTGGGACGACAATCTGTGGAGGGGGGAGATTTGCTGATCCAGAGCAGAGCACCTGAACTTCTGCTGGATGTGGCCTGCTGCGACTCCCATCCTGCTGTGCAAGAGGCAGCACTCTTTGCTTTACGCTCCATTGGTCAGCAGTCCAAGATTCACCAGGTACAAATTCTGTAACTTTGAAGGGTGATGATGGATGACTATGAACTCTGATCCAGTGGGGAAAGGATTGGAGACTGGCAGTACTTCGGTGTAGGCCCTCAAAGCACCATAGAAGTTTTCCTCTCAAACTTTGCTAGCTAAGAATTAAAATATTATGCATTCGATCTAAAAAAGGTATTCTATTAGACAGTTCTTTTTAGTCTTAGAGAATGCCATCGTAAATACTGGCACCCAATGCTACTGGAAAAGTCAGTATGTTTATTTAATCTCATTTTGTCTCCTGATTTCTATTAATCTCTCTACCCTCTCAATTAACTTAATAAGCAGCCATCATTGAGCCTCCATTTCTTTGTACAACAATCACGTGATTGGGAATGTAAAATTAATTTTATGTTAGCTAGGCATAGGCTCTTTAGCAGTTTGTTCCATTATTTAGTCTTAGTATCGTATTTTTAATTTATTTTGATAGATATTTATTTTTTTAAAGTATTCCTATCTGTCACAAATCTTTTGTTAACAAGTAATTTTTTTAAAAAAGATATATTATCTAGCTTTTCTTGCTGCTAATTTGGGGAGGGAATAAAAGAGGCTATTTGGAAAAATTGAATCCTTGGTGTTGTTTGCCTGCATGATATTTCATGACCCATCTAGATAATTTCTTCAGTGCTGGTGAATGTGGGGTTTGTTCCCTGTTTATATACAGTAGCTTGCCCTGCTAGTGTTGGTTGGGGTGTGGTTTTTTTCCCTTAGTAATTCCTAGATTAGGGTATTCTTTTCTGCCTGTTTGTCTGGTGTTAATCCTGTTTATCTGGGTATTGACTGTTGGTAAGAATGTATTCTGATCTTTTTCTGACTTTAGTTTTATTATCTGTTTGGAATGATGTCTGAATGTGGTTTATTTGTGTCTATTGATGCTTGATTTGTCTGAATGCCAAGCTTTCAGGAATTCCAAGCTTTAATGGATTTAGTTTGTTCTAGGCTGCTCAGTTTCCCAGTTGAAACTGTGATCGAATCTGTCCATGTATTATGAGATTAAGGACTTGGGGTACCTGCATGTGTTCTGCTTGTCTTCTGCCTGTCTGTCCTACATGGTGGCTGCTACCGTCTTTACATTCCGTACTAAATGTAAATGACTCGGGTTTTTTTCTTCTTGGCCTAGTAGTCATTTGATGTTTTGGAGGGCTTTAGTTGCTTTGTGTGCTACAGTGGTGCCGTGCGGTTGTAATAGTTGGTGGTTGTTTGTAAGATTTTTTGATGTGTGTTATTGCTACTGTTTTCATAGCTTGTATTGGTTATGCTATAGTGGGTTGAGTGATCAAGCACTTTTTGATTAAGTTGCATGGGTATCCATTTTGTTAGATGTTGCATAGGCGTTCTGTTCACTCTTTCTGATGTTCTGAATAATGTTCTTACATAGCTTCACTTGTGGGAGGTTGGGTTGTTACTTTGGTAATGGACCACTTGTTTTGTGCGGATTGTTTTTTTGACAGAGTTGCATTTTTAAATTTGCCATTTTTTCTTTTGCTAGTAAGCATATTCAGGAAGAGTAATGTGTGTTTTTTTCTTCCCTTGTGAATTTTATTCCTCTGAAAATGGAGATTTTTTTTTAGGTGTTTAGAATGAATTGATTTGTGAGAATACAGCCCTAGATATCTAAATAACTATTAGTTTCCTTTCTAGGTGCTGATGTCACTCCAAGCAAGTGAAAAACTGGAAGCCCTCTCTATTCAGGGATCTCAGACTTCTACCTGTAATAGTCCTCGGCCCACATCGAGGTACTGTAAGAAACTGATAAATCTCCTACAGGCTGCACACAGTGTATAAAATCTGAGGAACAGATATAACTTTAAAAAAATACTTAGATTTGGGGAACTATAAAGTAGTAAACGCCATTGTAAGTCTTTTTGAAAATAGATTTTAAGTCCTTGGAATACCATTTGATTCTTGCCTTACTGAGATTAGAAAAAGCCATGACAAATCTTCCTACAAACTGTTTTGTGAATCCAACACTGTATAAACTGTCTCCTGCAACAAGACTATGCACAGAATAATTCTTTCCTATTGTGAAGAAGTTACGCTGCACCGTTGCCTAACTTCTTGGAACACGGTCATTCATGGCGTTGATTCTTATGACAGTTTTCTTTGGAACGCTAGTGATGGACATCTACCAACATCCAACAGTCTCTGCTGAAAAGAAGAAAAGATGTTAGTAGCACTGCTGGTTAAAATATTTCTTTGCTTTTAGTTTTGCAGAATTATACAGGACAGAAGCTGTAAGACTTTTTTTAAATCTTGAATAGGAATAGAACTTCTACTTGAACTGACTGATCAGTTTTGATCCAGCTCATGAAGGGGTCCCATTTTTATTTATTGAGAACTTTTTTAGAATATTTCCCTGGCTAGTCTCTTTATTATTACTGTTAAATCTTTGTAATAAAAGCTGGCGTTAATATTCAATGTTTTTACTTATCTATGTATCGTTAGAAAACTTTAAAGAATACTTCAGATTCTGAAAAGTGACAGCACAAGCTTGGTCCTATGCCTTAACTATTGAAGGATTATAAATACGACTACAAAGACTATTAGTGTATTTTTTTTTCTAAATGGAAGAGAGAACAGATTGAAACAATGCTGAGAACATAACCTTTCTTGAACTGAACACTATCTAAATTTAATGTTCTCATGCACTTCCCTTCTTTTTCCTATTTGAAAATTATAATTTTACACTTGGAAATCAAACCAAAGATCTTCAAGATGATACCAGAATTATATTTTCCTATCATTGTAAAAAAAGCATAGTGCACCTGTCAACTATTTTTACAAACTTGGTAACTTTCAAGACACTTAGAGGTTCTTAATACAGCTATTTGGTGATATAAAGGGCATTTGGTATGAAAAAGAATTATACATATATTCTTTCTCAAAAAGTTTTTCTCCTGCTCAAGATTAATCAGATGCAATCTTCACTGATAAATAAGAGACACAATTACCTGGATTTATGTCTGTAACAGGCTTAGCTGAACTGTAGTGTACATTCAAATGAGTATCATTCTTGGTATGGTAAAAGCTTTCCAGTTTTGACCTAGGGATCACTGCTCACACACTGATGGAAGTAAAAAATGTGCAAACTCTTGGCAAGTTGACTAAGAAAAAAACATCTTTCACCCAAAATTCAAATCTTTAAACTTTTTTTTATTAAAAAGACTACATTTCATTTTTAAATATTTAGCCATAGAATAAACACTGCTACACAAATGAGAACCTTTCACCTTTCCTGGGCAATGACAGCTGTTTCCCAGCCCTTCATTAGGAGCCTCTATCCTGGAGCAGCAGGGCATTGCTGCCACCAAAGGAAAGGAAGAAAGCATAAAGAACCAGAGAGAAATATCAACACAATACATGCCTTCTGCATCAGAAAGAAAAAGTTAGGGCTCTATTGAGAGGGATGGAAAAATTGTTGCCCGGGCACAACACAAAGGGTAGGCAGGCTATACACTCAGTGCCACAAAGCTGCCTGTTTCCAAAGTGCAGACAGTCGGAGGAAGCTGTTATTCACGGTCACCCCACTCCACTCCTTTTGAGGGAGGGGCAGGCAATACAGGACAGAAAAGAAGCCAGCTCTGGCCAACAAAACAGTTGTGCTACGCAGCAGACATCTACAAATTCCTTTACCTTTTATCAGAAGTCTGAAAGGAGAAAAAGGAAGAAGGCGGTAAGTACAGTTATCTTCCTAGTCGTTGTCAAAGTTAGGGAGGGGGCAGGTTGGCTGTGGAGCCAGGAATTGCAAAGGTGTTTGGATGTCCTCAGATGCCTTTCGTGCACCTTAGGCAAGTCATTTAGGAGAGCAGCTCAAGGACAGAGTCCTACAGGACTGGTAACAAGAGATTTGGAGCTTGCATTTGCAAATCTTAAGTTGCAGTTTTTCTTCATCCTAGCACACTAATTGCTGGGTGACATACTGTATATTTTGAATACTTTACACAAAGGGAGGACAACCAGCCCATAATGCTATTTTTGCACTATGGTCTGTGTATTCCCTTGGAAAACAAACAACAATACCAAGACCGACAATCCATGGGAAAACTGGCTGAAACAGGCAGAAGTGAGGAAACAAACCAAGAGCCATTCAATTAAGGCCATTGCTAAACCAGTGTAGCTTTGCAGTGAATGAGCTGATACACTGGAAAAACTTTGCTACTTTAGAGTAAAAATATTGACCTTTGCAACCTTATAAGCCATTTTATGTTTTTTTTTTGTTTTGTTTCCTGTAAAATTCCACAAACCATCCCCGGGGGGGGAGACCATGTTGCCCAGTTCTTTCTCCTGGAAATAGAAATGCACATCCTGCTCTAATTAACAATATTACCAAAGGAAATGCTTAAGTCTTTCAAAAGTGAATGGAGTTGATAGGCAAAATGGGTACCCTTCCTCCTCTTTAACGCTAGAATTCTTTCTAGTGTCTCACATAGTATCTTTTCTAGCTGCTCTGCTTCTCTCCCTGAGGCAAAGGCTGAGGGCATTAGAAGAACGCCTTCTGCTCAGGATGTTTTAGGGCAGGAATGATGCCAACAAGCAGAAATATTTGTATTTAAAGTGCAGCAGAAAGGGAAAGAGGAAGGCTGCCAGATTCTACAATTAAATCTGAGTTCCGCCAAGCGAATTTTTAAAAAATCCGGACAGCTAGATACGTAGTTCAGAATAAATAAAATCAGGCTATGCCTTCCTGGAAACCATTGGGCATAGTGTACATTCACCCTACATACAAAGGGAAATAGAACCGAAGGTTTAAAATACTTGAGAAGATAGGACTGGCTCTTGGATCTGCAGAAGCACTTGGCTTTCTGTGCAAGGTGGCTAAGTCCAGATTGCTTTCATTTTCGCAGAAAAAATTCTCTATATGGTATCACTACTGAAAACCTACTTTCCGTTCCCCAATTTCCTGTCAAAAAACAAAAAAAAAATAATCCCAAATCTATTTCTCCAAAGAACGTTTTTCCTTCCTGTTCAATTAACCGACCAATGCTCTCTTTAAATTATTTACACCCTCTCTGCTGAATAAAACTCCTTATTTCCTACTGGATACATGAGGATGAGCAGTAAGTTGTAGTGGCAGGAATAGCAGAAAATATGTGCGAAATAAAAACCGCAAAACAGACTGAGACAGAAAAATTGCAGCAGCAGACAAAGACTGCAGCATCACTAAGAAGCATGGGGCAGAAACAGAGGCCTGGTGGAAAGGCCAATACTAGGAGGAGGACAACAGCTTTTGATTCCAGACGTAACACTGCAAATTTGGGGGCTTTGCATGGACTTTGCCACATGTCTGTCTGTCCTTCAGTACGGCCTATAACTTCTCTATGCGTCTGTTTGTCCTTTCTTGCAGCTACAGAAAAGAGGAGACTGAACAGTGAGATCAGGGTGACAGTTCTTCAGGAGGTTGAGAAGGAGCTCCTGGAGCTTCTGTTTCTCCAGAAAGGCCCAGCTCTGTATCCATTTGCTCCAGCTCCTGCTGATCAAGCAACTCAAAATCGTCGGCTTCTTCCTCCTCCTCTTCTTTCCCAGGCAGAGGAGCTGTTCCCACCTCCTCGTTCTCAGAGAGCTGTGCCTGGAAACTGAGTCTCTCCTCGGGTTCAGTAGGCAGGAACTCAGAGAAACAAGGCCCTTCGGTGTCCTCTGAGGAGTGGAGCAGAGCCGACAGGGTGTTCTGCACAACTGTACTGATAGCCGTAGTGACAATCTCTTGACTCAACGAATCGATGTGGAGCCCCAGGCCTTGTGCGCAGGTAGCTTGGGACTCGGGGGTTCCTCCCGCTATCGCCTGCCCGTTCCCGTTGAAATGAGTATTTACAAAATGCAGGGGTGAGGCCAGGCACAGAATGGATGTGTCCGGATTCATGGCGGCAGCGGCCTCTTCAGCAGAGTTTAGCTGTTGCACACTTTGAATGGGAACGCCAAAATTCTCATCTTCGCTGGATGGTCCCAAGTCTTTGGAATGGAACTCTTCCACCGAAGGGAATTCTGCTAAATCTTTGGAGAAGGATTCCTCAGGCTCACTGGGGAGGCTCTGCTGGTCCAGATCTAAAAAAAAAAGCAGATAGGCAGTTAGTAAGTGCGTAACTTTTAGCGCTCCAGAGATTCCTGCTCTGAATCTTTAATTTGGCTGCTAGCTCAAATATGGGTTTCAGTCTTGTTTACTATACCAGTTTCTGAACGTGCTTGCCTGGCTTTTGTTCCTTTTTACTCCCTTCTGATTGGCATTACAACGTTTTTCATCTTTTCCGCCTGAGGTTCTATAAGCCAAGCACTGTATCACTAGCCCAATCTAAAAGTCACAATCTACACAGGAAGCTTACTAAAGCTTTTCTTTATTATATCTTGTTACAAGGATAAAGTACCACTGGTAAATATGCATTATAAAATTTCAGTTTATAAAGAATTCATAATTATATTGGCCAGCAGTAGCACCAGAGCTTTGCATTTCCAAAAGTCATTTTTGAGTCTTGTCAAAGCAGGTTTAGTTCAAAACTTAAGTTTGAGTCACACTCCACTCCAAACAATGAATGGAAAATTAATATGATAATATACCATCCCTGCTTTGGATGGATCTACAAGGAGCAGAATTCCCCATTGAAATGCATCCCTTCTTCTTTTCAGGCCTGAAATGGCAGACAAACACCTCTTCTACAATATTTTTCAGGAAAAGTTTAAAGGACAGGCTAGGATCTAGGCTGGCATGGTTGCTGTAGGTAATAATCTTGGATGCCATTTTGTTAGAGGGTGGAGATGAAGAAAAAAGAATGCAAGGGTAGTGGAAACCAATCCAATGAAGCCAATGAAGTTTTGTTTATAATTCTGTAATATAACTGGGCTAATTTTTGTAGCACCAATAACTTCAAAATTAAGGAACAGTTAGAAAATTAACATGGAAAAGATACTGCAATCTACATGTACTACGAAGCCAGAAACATTCAGAATGATGTGATCCTTTCCAGTTCTTGATTCATTTTTCTCATGAATTCTTAGTTCTGCCACAAAATAATATAATTTGTATTGTATCACTCAACAGCTCCAAGCTGAAATATGAAATTTGGTACAGGGAAAAGAAATATACCACCTTCAGACACATCTGTCAGTTGTGGAGTTGTAGCTCTGGAGACCGTGAATCCCCCACTTTCTAGGATAGAGGCTTCCTCATCAGAGAGTTCAGAATCTGTGATTGCTAATGCCAGAGCTGTCTTCTTCACATCTACCTGCAATAAAGGTAACATTAAGATTGTATGGCAAGGCTGGATGAGCTCGGTTAAAAACTCCATAGAGAGAATGCATCTTGAATGCCAACCCAGCCATGTCCCCTATTGGATCAATACTCATCCTAGATCAGGGGTGTCAAACTCAATTTCATTGAGGGCCGCATCAGCATTGTGGTTGCCCTTGGGGGGCTAGGTGGGTGTGGCCTACTGGGTGGGTGTGGCCTACTGGGTGGGCGTGGCCAACTCTACATCATTCGCGTCAAGGGTGCCTGTGGGGGCCTGGGCAGGAGCGGGACAGATCTGAGGGTCTCTGGCAGAAGGGGGTAGGACCAGGGCAAGTGCCAAGGCATGGTCCACTGGAGGAGCCTCACTGTTCCTCTCAGGCCATGCCGGGGGGGGGCTGGATGGTGGTGTGGGCTGCTGGGAGTCCTGGACAGCAGAGGTCAAATGCCCAGGCAAGAAACACAGCTGGGGAGGTATCACCCTTCGCGAGGAATGAAGAAATGGACCATCGCCTGGAAGTGGCCAGCATATGGCCCTCGCCTACTTCACATATCTGGCTTGGTGGGCTCAGGGGGGATGCCATGAGCAGCGTGAGAGTCAACGTTACCTGCACAATGCCACCCAGCCCCAGCCTGGCTGCTTTCGGCAGGCCGTGGGGCGCTTTCCTCATAGCGCCAAGAGGCTGAACCGGACGGTGCAAATCCAAAAAGAAGCACGATGCCGCTCAGCGTCCAGCCTGCCTGGTTTCGGCAGGCAGTGGGGCGCTCTCCTCACAGTGCCGAGAGGTTGAGCCGGGCGGTATGAAGCTCACCAGCTTTGCACCTTGCTGCCTGCTGAAACTGGACAGGCTAGGGGCTAGGCAGCATTGCATTTCTCATCAGATTCGCACCACCCGGCTCAGCTTTTGGCGCTGTGAGGAGAGCGCCCCACTGCCTGCTGAAACCAGGCAGGCTGGGAGCTGGGCGGCCTCACATTTTGGGGGGGATTTGCACCACCCAGCTCAGTCTCTCGGCGCTGTGAGGAGAGCGCCCCACTGCTTGCCGAAACCCCTCCTCCAGAGCCCATCAAGCCGGATATGTGAAGTAGGCAAGGACTATTTTCTGGTCACTTTCAGGCGATGGTGCATTTCTTCATTCCTCACAAAGGGTGACACTTCCCCAGCATGCACCCAGGGGGTGGCTGACGCGGCAGGGGCTGGTTCCTCGCTGTTTCCAGACGGCCTTGTGGAGCTAAGACAATGCATTTCAGCATAGATGGCCACCACAAAATTGTACATTGGCTCCCAGCTGGCCTGGGCCATGGCCAAGGCAGCGGAGGCCGTTCCCTCACTGTTTCCAGGATGGCTTCGCGGGCCATATGAAACCACTTCGTGGGCCGCATCCAGCCCCCGGGCCTTGTGTTTGACATGTCTGTCCTAAATGCTGCATCCTCCTTCAACAAATTATGATGAATAAAACAAGAGCAGCGGCAAGTCCAAATAACATGCAAAGATATCCATATGGATTGCTAGAGTGCTCCTTCTGACTGTTTAACAAACTGCCACAGTGGGAAAAGTAGTTCATAATTTAAAAAACAACAGGATCTTACTACCTATGAACCTAAAGGAACGCTATTGCAAACAGTCAGTACTGACGGAATTTATATTATTACATTCAAAAACATGAAGGATCCACTACTTTTAGTTTGCCAGCTTTAAGAATCTCAAGGAAAAGATTGGTCTGAAACATTTCACCTCCTATTTCAGGTGAGGCTATGACATGATTATTGTTCAAAACTAAATAAAAATGCATTGAACAAATTCTTTTTTAAACAAAATATAATTTTATTCCCAAGTCGAGAGGCACACGAATATCCTTACATGTGAATATAAGATTTATATATATAGCAAGCTACATGCCTGAAATATATTGTTAACTGTCCTTCTTGCATATACTAATTAAGATGCTTTTTGCTTCCCTCGGATAAGCCATAATTAATCCACAGAGAAGGCTGCATCAAAAGAAGTAATATGCAAACTAAGCACAAATGCACAAAAAACAAAAGTTATTAAACCCTAAATTAATAACAGTAAAAAACAGGAAATGCTTAGAAATGATATTATGGACAAACAATCTACAAAAGTCTTAAAAACTTCCTTAAAATTTATTTACCTTTGCTGGGCTTTAAGTATCTAATACAAGAGATCACTACTTCCAGTGGAGTAGATTTATCTAAGTCAGGGGTTCTCAACCTTGGCAACTTTAAGACTTGTGGACTTCAACTCCCAGAATTCCTCAGCCAGCTTTGCTGGCTGAGGAATTCTGGGAGTTGAAGTCCACAAGTCTTAAAGTTGCCAAGGTTGAGAACCCCTGATCTAAGTGAATGTGGGTTTTGAAATTAAAAAAGGTTCCCTTCCCCACATTACTTTGCCTCTACACAAATCACGAGAAACCTAAAGTTGCTCTAAACAGAAAGCAGTCAAAGAGAAGCCTCATGCTTGAAGGACCCAAAGGCTCACTGGGTAAAAGCATCCAATGATGCAAACCAAACGATTGTCCTCACACACACAACCCCTCCCCGTTGTGAAGTTCAGCTCATCACTCTCTCCGGACTCCTGTAACTCTCTCAGTGCCAGGTCTCCAGCCGCCCCCACTCTTTTGCTTGATCACGCTTTGCCCTTTTTTGCTTCTTCCCTCACCCTTACCACTGGAGAGTAGCCAGACAGTTCTGCTTCACTCTCACTTTCTGTTTCTGCCATTGGTTCACTGCCAGCCTCTGGCTCAATCTTTCCTTGACGCTCTGTAGAGTAAAATAAAATAAATATTGCCCATGGCTTCTGTGAGTCAGTCCCGTGGCAAAAGGCTTAAGAAAATACTATTTTATAACAAGTTGTTTAGTTTGTTTTTACAGCGTGTGCTTCTTCGCGCTCCTTGTCCCAATTGCACACTGACATCCATACATCTACAGGCTTTCTAGGCCCTGTGCCCACTGGAGAAACCGGTCAGTCCAGCATTTCTTTAGTATTTTTTTGACCTGCATTTTCAGTAGCAAAGAGCAGTTGACTTACTTTTCTTTTCGTGTTTAAGATGCAGAGTCTCCACCTTCATACTGTAGTCCAGTTTCATTAGGATGGGCTCCAAACGGGTATACATTCTCTGAATGAGTTCATGGTAAACTACCAGTGGCCACAGCAGAATGCTAAGTACTGGAAATATGGATAAAACTCAGAGATGTGTTAAAAACATATATATTCTCTGAAGCTAAGGCAGTTAATGTCTTCTCTAGGAACGTTAAGTTGCTAGTTACTCTCAGTGCTTCTTATGTTCAGTGAATCCCCCTGTGCCTGACATAGTACCGGTACTGTACAAATTCAGCCCTTTATCTCTCTAGCTGAAGATCATAAGATCAGGACCAACATTGTTCATAATGCATAAACAGAAAAAAAAATCCTTAGATTCCAGAACTGAAATTGAATAAACTACAAAAATAACTTTACCAAATGTTTCCCACACACTAAAAATATGATTGCCCTTATCCCCAAGCTTTATTTTCTTGTGAAGCTGGCAGAGGAAATAGATACCACCATTTGAAACGTCTACTACTGGCTTTATAGAAAGATTTGCACGACACCCTTTGAAAAAATTGCTGTATTTTCTTTTAAATTGGTTTGCTGAAAATTCCTGTGAATTCCTAGAAGGTGCCTAGAAGCTTATGATATTTGTTAGTAAAAATGTATCTTTAGTTTTAAAGGGATGCAAAGGGTTAATAAACATACTCACAGACAATGTAGGAGATCATGATTCCTGGAACATAGTGTCCTACAATTGCTAGAATCAAGCATCCTGAGCAGATTCTGGCACAGAACTGGGCAAAGAAGAGGGACAAAAATAATGCTTAGGGGGGAACAACATTCTCAGAATAGCTAGTGTACATAGCCTTCTTCGTAACAGACTTAGAGTGCCTCCCAAATTTCAGGGCCCTTTCATTCTTTAATGTTGCTTGCATTCATCCACAAATCGGTTTCATGTACTCTAAGACTGATCCTAGCTAGCTAACATTTAGCTTCTGAATAGAAGAAAAAAAAAACAAGAATAGCAAGCTACATGCCTGAAATATATTGTTAACTGTCCTTCTTGCACATACTAATTAAGATGCTTTTTGCTTCCCTTGGACAAGCCATAATTAATGCAGAAGGCTGCATCAAAAGAAGTAATATGCATACTAAGCACAAATGCATAAAACAAAAGTTATTAAACCCTAAATTAATAACAGTAAAAAACAGGAAATACTTAGAAATGATATTATGAACAAACAATCTACAAAAGTCTTAAGAACAACTTTGTTAGCAATGAGCTAATCCAAATAATGTTGTGAGTGGTGCAATTTATTTAAAAAGGCTGAAAAGCCATTTTAAAACATAACATTACTTGTAATTTATGCCCACATTTCCTTTTTTTCCTAGGGCCAGGTATGTTGTCTGAAAGATTAATTCACACTGCGATTAGAAAACACAGCAAAAGGAAACACAAGGCTGTTGCCTTTTGGTGCAGAAATACCAATGTATAGCTCCATCAGGACAATTGCTGGGAAATAACTTGTCTTACCTGTATTTCAACTGAAGTGATGTAATAAAACCTCTATTACAGTTCTTTGTTTCCACATACCTGGAGCAATGCTTTAAGATCACTGCTTAAAACATTGTTTGTAAACCAGATGACCATGTCCAAATATAGCTACTTTAATATCCATGCAGAAAAATGTTAGGTATGAATCAGTTCTAACTCCCAGAAACTATGCATTTTAATGTCTTCTTCTGAAAACAAACATGCATTTTAATGCGTTTTTCCGAATGCAAACGTGGGACAACTTTCCCTAGCACAACAGTAACTAGGCTTTGTCTTCTTACATGAAAGGCCCTATTGATTCCATACATACCTTGGCAGGGTTTTGCTTCTTATACTGCAGAAGTTCCTGCAGATATAGCCTAAAGGTAATCCAGCTCTCAGCCAAGCAACGACAGAGTTCTAAAACACTAAGCAGGTGAGGTTGGGCTCCTGTCATCTCATGGTCACTGGAATAAAAACTACATATTAGTAAGCCAAGCCTTCAAAATGACACCCAATATTATATTTAATACAATAATCTCCACAACAGGCTAACCAAGGTCCAGTTAAAAACACTGCACTTTGTTTGAAAGTGCTTGGCTTTTAAACCAATATAAGAATATATTCAGAAGGGGCATCCACCCAGAGGAACAATTTTCGAGGGTTTGAAAGTATGATCTGTGATCTGATCTGACACGATAAATAATGAAATGTGTGTATGTCAGTTCCCAATCCTATAAAATAAGATCAAATACATAGGTTAAAGAGTGTTTAAGGAATTTCAAATAATATCACAAATCAAAACACGGAGCTACTTGAAGTAAAAAGGCAGACAAGAGCAAGGAAAAATGACAGAAGTAAAGAATCTTCCCCAGAATATTAGGAACATGCCTACCTGTCTCCCCCAGGTTCTTCTATGGGTTGTACTGCAGGATAAAAAAAACGGGGAGGGTTTTTTTTAAAGCATTAACTGAGAAACGAAACATAGAAATTCAGATTCTATACGCATGTATATGTTTCTTTCTTCAACAAATTGGTCTTTATATACAGAGCTGAAGAGCTTAGCATTATAACTGTAGGTATCACAAGGACTAAGGGAAAGCAAGACCCACACTTTGGAAATTGTCCAAATACTGCAGTACTATATTAATGTATACATGTTTGCCCGAAAGAAGCCCCCCCAAAACTAAGCCCTAGCTTGATTTTTGGGGGTGGGACTAATAACCCCCCCCAAAAGTAAGCCCTAGTTTGGGGGCAAGGGTGGGGGTAGGGGGGGGTGAAGCTGCCCCATGCAGCCCGCACCTGCTTATCTTACTGGTAGGACTGCCACAACCAGGCCTCCCATCCCCCAACACTTGTGGCACTTCACGCCGTTGCCATTGCTCATGGCAGGACGCCGCATGGTGCTTCGGGCCATTTCCACTGCTCGCAGAAGGATGCCACATGGTGCTTCGGGCTGTTTCCGCCGCTCGTGGCAAGAAGCCACACGGCTCTTTGGGCCATTGCCGTCGCTCGTGGCAGAAGGCCATGCGGCGTCCTGCCGCAAGCAACCATGAAGGCCTGCATATAGTCCCTACAAGCTGCAATCGGGATTTTTCTGTTGTGTACAAACTCTGAACAGCTCATTGAAACAATGGGAAACAATCTTGTGAAATTTGTGAGCCAGATTTGGCAAACACCCCTAACACAGGCACCCAATAATTATAGTCACTGTAAGAACTACTGCCCCTATGAAAGACAAGAGTCTATTCTATCACATGAAAAAACTACTGTTAACTCAGCAGCTTAATACAATGGGCATTTACTGCATCTGTGAATATTCTGAATACCGTACTGCCTGCAAAAGAGTGGAAGCTAGTCATCACTAGTGTTGGAGTGCTATGACTGGTTTACATCAGCCTATTTTGCTCTTCCTCGGAGATTTGAAAGGCCTGTACAGCCTTAATTAACCCGTTCAGTAACATTAGCCCTATTTTAACCTGTTTCACCGTATTTTATTTTGGAAGCTTAGAAAATGCAAAAGAAGCATCAGTTCCCAAAACTGGTACAAAATTGACAATTTGATCAGTTTGATAATTGGGGGTTCCCTGATGAATCCAAAAGAAATGAGTCTATTTTGCCAAATTCTTAATTACAGAACTTCAAGAAAATGCTCAGCATGATAAACAACATGCAGAAGGAGGCTTAGAAAAGAAGTGTCCCCTTCTAGATTTCAGTCTGAACAATAAGTGTTCACTAAAAAGATATCGAATTTTTAGCATTCCAATGCACCTCTGAAAAGACCAGCTCTGTCAAAATGATTCGTAAGTAAATCCGAAAAATCTCAAGAGGTCCGATAGCACCTTTTCTTACTAACACATTTTATGAAAATGTACAACCTCCTGAAAGCTCATGCTTTTTAACAAAAATGTATAAAGACTCCTGCTGATTTTTTGCCACTATCAAGTATTACTGTAAACCATGCCTTCTTACAATGTCTGCAAAGGAAAGCATCAAGTTTAGCTATATGGAGTGGAAATAGATAAAAATTATCAAGAAATTGGCATAAATGCAAGCAAACATCATTTTTCTAATCAAATGCAACAGAACTGCATGGTATTTCTCCTTTAAGAACTGAAAGTGAGGAACCCTCTATATGGACTACAGCTAAAGATTAGGCCATACTCTCTCCAAGAAAGTCCTAATCATCTAATCATAATTCTTTGTAAGAACCAACAATTAATCATCAATGCCATACCTCCTCTGGAATTTCAACTACACCAGGATTTTATCATAATAAAACATCTTCTTGAAAAAGAAGACAGATTTCCAAGCATCCACTAGAATCCATTCACTCAAACAGGAATGTAGAAATGTCTTATGAAAATTCCATTACTTGAAATAGAGGGCAATCAACACTCCTGAACATTATTTTGTAATATTACAAATGTTGTCACCAACCAAATCCATGAAGTTAAGCTTGCAAGATGCATTTCTTTGGACAAGAAATATGAGAGAAAAATCAGGGAAGAATAGAAAGAAAAAGAAGGAAATAGAAATAGAAATAATAGAAATAATGGAAATAATAGAAATAGAATACAATTCTTTATTGGCCAAGTGTGATTGGACACACAAGAAATTTGTCTCTGGTACTGAAGTTCTCAGTGTACATACAAGCAACAAGTGATAAATCATGATCATAATCATCATAAAACTACATTCATCATAAATCGTAAGATGCAACACTTAGTGATAGTCATAGGGTAGTTTAGTTGTTCTGGCATGCAATGCCCTATAGCAGGGGTCCCCAACCTTTCTGGGTTGGTGATATGTTGGGAAAGGGAGGGACAGGCACCTTTATGCGTGCATGCGCACATGCAAATGCGACTGCACACACTTGTGCACGAACAGGGCTGAGAGCATGCATGCTCCACAAATGGAGCTAGCGCCAGCGCAAGACACACTGAGTGTGCACACATACACACTGGCCAGCCACTCATGTGGCCCAGTGACCAAGAGGCCATGCCCAGTAGTGGGCCACGGCCCTTAGGTTGGAGACCTCTGCCCTATAGCGTCATCTTGAGGGAAGAAGTTGAAGCAGTTTATGTCCAGGATGTGAGGTATCTGTAGATCTTTTCACAGCCCTTTTTCTGGCTCGTCCAGTATACAGGTCCTCAATGGAAGGCAGGCTGGTAGCAATTGTTTTTTCTGCAGTTCTAACTATTCATGAAGCATTAATTCAATCCTAACTTCTTAAAGTAGGGAATCTAACAATTCCTTGCTTTTATTATTCACTCCTTCAGCCAATATTATGATTGGTATAACCCAGTCATTCAGTTAATGGCCTATTAATTAAATGTATCGTTATTAAACTCATGGAAATTAACAACTTGCAAACAGTTTATTTCTTGCAATAGTTATTTTAATCTCATACATGTTAGTGAGAAATACTATTTCTGCAGTGTTTTCTGAATCACTTTCAAATCCCAGATCCCATACTACAACAGGTAGCATGTGGTCTTTCCTTGTGATCTTCCTCTAGTGCCTTAACAACCAGGATGTTAATCATCAATGATAGTGCCCTAGTTTCAACAGCTGGTCATAAACAACTTCCAAAGGATAAATAGATAAAAGGGCTTTTTGAGCAGAAAGAAAAGAGGAGGCTGTTGCGTTGTTCTCAATTATGATAACTCTTTAATTAGCCAAGAGTCTGAAAAACTTGGCTATAGCAATTTTTGAATCAGAGAAGTTATCTAAAATAAAATAAATTACTACAAAGCTCGGAAGACAGGACCTCTGGTCCCTGTGACCAACCCAGATTGGATCCTAGAATATCCTGGGACATGTATATTCGCCTTCGTTCATAAATTATTACAACTTGCTTCACCTACACAGGATCTGTTATATGAATGCTCTAAATGTTCAGTCTTCAAAAGCTAAAGTTAAAACGAGGGCAGAGTTACCAGTATCATAAAATCATAATTGTGGCTCATGGTACTCAAATATTTAGGACCTAATAACACAAGAACTGCATTATTTTTCTACAAATCAACCAAAGATAAAGGATGCATATAAGCAAAGAATCAAATACTGCACCTTTAGATGAAAAACAAACTTTAATTCTCAGTGGCTTCCCATGTGGACAATATAATATTGTGCAAACCAACTAAAATACACCATTGCCTTAATTCAGTTTAAGTAAAATCCAAGCAAATTGTGACACAAATGAGCTCATGAATAGATGTTCCCCTGAGTCAGCAATTCCCACTGTCAAATAGTGTTTAGCACCAGTTCAGAGATCTGAAACACCCTTGCTTGCCACATAATGTTCTTAAGGGGAAAAAAATCCTAAATTTCACTAGTAGGAAATAACAGAATTAGAACCCAAAGCAATAGACTATATTTGCAAAAGTCTTAACTTCTACTGCGTTTACCATGTTCACTTACCTGAGAAATCCAATAAAAACTGGGGCTTCCATCTCTCCAACAGCAGAATACCAATAAAACCAGTACTAAGGAGGAACAGGGGACGTAATGAAGTGGAGGAAAACAACCTGGAAAGTCCCAAAGACAGGTATTACAGAAAGAATTGGCAAAAATATAACAAAAGATTCCATTTATTCTGGCTCAATTGTATTACCAGCTATTAATTACTTTCCCTTTCCAGGTCTTCTGGACCACAGTGAGTTTCAAGAGAGCAGCAGCTTCCTCAACTTGTGTAAGATTGGGGGGGGAGGGCAAATTAATGGAATTTCTCATACAATTTTTTATCCTTTCCCAATCATTATAGGTTGGTAAACTTTTCTGTCCAAAGGTCATCCTGGTTGTCTGACCAGGGTTTGGGGCAGCAAGAAACCAGGAATCTGTTGTCAGTTGGTCATCTGGTCAGCAGAAAAACAGGTAGGGTTCTTCATGATTCTGAGCTGAACTTCTGTGGCCTATAAGAGCCCAGCATATTTATTGCCCACTCCTAGCCTAAGGCTCAGTAATGGGAACAGTGCTAAGGTCCAATCTTTCTTTACCCACATTGATTGTTTCAGAATGCTCTTGCCATAAGCACAAATAGATTGCTAAATACATTGCTCTACAAGTTCTTTCACAAAGTGCAGGCAGCTCTCTCATTCTCTGCTACATGGTTAAGGATGAGGGCAAGGCAGAGAGTTGTGTAGTTCCCAGAAATAAGTATTCAAGTGTTGCTGAGTACTACATTTGCAGATACTTTCTGAAGAAGGATGAGAGGGAAGAAAGGAGAGGAGAGAGAAAAGAGTAAAGGAGAGAAGGTTGGAGGAGAAGAGGAGAAGTGGGGAGAAAGGGGAGGAGAGTGGTGAAGGAAAGAGAAGAGGAGAGGAAGAAGAGGGAAGTAGGGAAAAGAAGAAAGGGAGAAAGAAGGTAGAGAAGAAGGAGTGTGGATACAGTGAAAGGGAAAATGGGCGAGCAACACCAAAAGTCATGTGTATGTATTTATTTCATTTTGTTAAAAGTATCTTATATATGAATGTAAAAAGAATGTATGTTAACATCTGATAAATATCACGGTATACGTATGGGGGAGAGTTTGGAAAAATAAAAAATTATTAAATACATTTGCAGATACTTGAATGTATCTTTTGGGAAAGAAATGTAAGACCAATCAAAAACATTCACAGGAGTATAAAAGGTTGAAGTGCACAGTAAATAAAAAAATTATAAAATTATAAATTCTAAAAAAAATTATATAACAATTGCTGCTATATTAATTTTTAGAAAATCATCCTTTTTATACATGAGAACAACTCCAATTACTTTCTACTGTTTTATCAGTATCAGTTAAGGTTTTTCAATAGAGAAGCATCTATATATATATCATCTTAATAATCCTGGAAAATTTGTTTTCTCATTATAAGAGAAAATTGAAAAAAAAAAATAGCTTCAGAGTCAAAAGCAAGTCTATGACTTTACGTCTAGGATAGATGCCCAGCTAACTCAGAATCAGTTTTATTTGCATTTATGTGGATATTTGAAATATTATTAGATTTTTATTATTATCCCCCAGAGTATGAGTGTACATCATGGAAACATATATTCTGAAAAACTGAAGTTAAATTTACAGGCACCTACACATTTATAATGGTTATACAGATGTCACCTAGGAATTTGAAATATTTTAATCCTAGCATGACTGGCTTCTAAAAATGTAATAATTACCATTTTTCTGGTAGAGCCACATTAATTCTTTTATTGTCATAGAGTATCTAAAACGTTACTACACAGAATAACAGAAAAAATATCTGGCTATTTTTAATTCAAGTCTTCATAACAGTAGCCACTGGAAATATAATTCCAATCCCTGCATGGTTCCAATCCATGAATATACTTTGCTGATAGTCAGCTCGTTGTCTCTAAGAGTAAACAGGATGTTTTGTTTTGTTTTCCAGCAGTTTCTGGACTCCACTAGTCAGCCTTGTTAAATGTTGCTGTCTGTGCAGAAGCCACAGAGCTAGAAAGGAAGGAATGTGCTAGTATAACAATTCTCAGCAATTATAGGCTTGACAAAATCTCAGTTGGCAGAGGGTAAGCAAAAGCTTCTTGGGCTTACAACCTCCTAGTACATTGCCAGGAGTGACTAAGCAATCAGTCTCACGTATACTAGTATAAACCATGTGTATCATATGCAGTGAATACACAATCTCCTGGGCAAACCTCCAGTTATCTGTAACTGCTAGTAACGGCCCTTGTTTATCACAAGTCAATCCTAAAACTCTTGGCAATAATTATGAACAGAAAAAAATCCACTTACACATTGAGAATAAAGAACAAAAATTACTTGAAGCTATAGATAACAAATATTAAATTCTGCATGTTGGACTATGACTGCACTCTTTTAGATCAACCTGCAAAGAACTCTGGAACAGATAACCCAATGCATAATCCTCTTAGGTTCACATAGTACATGTTTATTTTGTGGTTCCATTGGAAGTAAGATTAGTGGTATTTACCTGAACAAGTATAGCACAGGATTGTTTTGTATGGCATCACTCAGTGGCACTCCCTATACTTCAATTGTTAAAAATCAGAGCCTGGCATTTACATTACTATCTCAGGGCAAAGCTAAAAAGATTTCAACCTCTCGAGAGCTACCACAAGGCAGAGGATAATACTGGCATACTTTAGACAAATAAAATACCCGACTATTCATCAGATAGGTGAATCATTAATTTTGAGATGCAATCCCTCTTTGAACTATACTTTTAACCCAAGGCACTATACTGAATCTCTATATACAGGCAACCAAAAACTGCCTAATTTTGTTCAAGTAAAATCAAAATATTTGAGATTTACAATTTGCATCACATACCTTCAAGACTCTGATAACACTTGTACGTCTCGCAAAACCATTTTTATAGTACTCTATCCACAACTATCCATTTTTATCCCTGATACATTTAAATCTCATTCTTTAATACTTATTTAAAGTATTGGGGGGATTCACTAGAGCACAGCAGAGAATGCTTAGATATAAATATCAAATAAGAATATGCATGCTTTCTGTTTCACTGCTTAGAAAAATAAATCCAACATGCTAGAAAACATTTTTTTGGAAATTGGAAAAAAAAGCAGTGAGTAGTTATGTTGTTTGAATCAATACATTGCAACAGCCAACATTATAGGGTATATGAAAGAAATCTAGAAACTCCCAGAATATAAAATCAAGAATACAGGTGTCAAATAACACAAATGGTCTAACCATGTAATCTCCACACATTATCAATTAACAGTATAACTTGATATTTATAATTTAATATCATTCCATCCTTCTCATTGCTCATATATTAGGAAAAAAATCTACTCTTGCAATTGTGGCTGGGACCACCCCATGTTATGTACACCTAATTCAATAAAATGTGAGGCATCCAGAGCAATATCCTGGTTAGCAGAGGATGTTCCTGCAGAGACATACCTCTTCAAGAAAAAGTAATTTACATTAGCTAAAACATCAGATTTATTTATTTCAGTCAGTTTATATCACCACTCACTCACCACCTCTTGACAATAAACAAAATTTATTATTTTATTTTTTGCATATCAGGCTATCAAATGATCCTTATTTCAACACAGCCATCATTTTGTGTTGCAATATTCAGGAATATATAAATCATTTACAATCTGCATTAAAAAATATTTTTCTATGTATTGGACTTGATCTGAGAGAAACCTGGATACTAGCCTGTATTGTGCTATCTAGCACTGGCCATATCACTACTGTTGAGTTTAATTTACCACACAAAGTTGTTGTGAGAATTTGGGGTGCTCCCACTCCCATATCTCTACACTACTGACCCGTTTTCTAATTTCACCATCTCATAATTCCCACATATGCCCACCTAACACAACATTGACCAAATCTCTCATTTCCCTCCCCACCCCGACTCTTTTCAAGACAGTCAAAAGAATACGGACAGCTAATCTGTAACACTAATGGGAATTTATTAGTGAGAAATCATTCTTAAGGTTGTGCATGAAAACACCCATACGCTTTTAGCATACTGTAATTTAACCTAGGCCGACTAGCAACCAAATTCAAGTTTCTATTTATTCACGAACCTAACTGGGTGACTGAGTCAGTGATTTTCTCAGCTCAATCTTCCTCCAGATGTTTTTGTATCCAGGAGCCTATGCATGCTTCCTTGAAGTCCTTAAGGAAAATTTTTTGTGGGGGGGAGGAGCACAAGACCAGAAGTGAGCATAAGACCCGAGATCTTATACAGCCCTTTCAGAGAAAAGATCTATGCAGTAATTTATGGATATCACTAGGCATTGTTTCCACTGCCACGAATCAATCCCTTCTCAAATATTTCGGTCTCTATGGCAGGCCTCCTCCTTGCAACCCTCTTCCAGCAATCTCAGTAGCCAACAGGGCCAGGGAGTCCGTTCAGAGTCCTAAAAACCTCTCGGCACCATCTCCAGCTAGCTCTCCCTCCCCTCCGGGCGCTGCCCCGTGCGACCCACGCTCTGCTTTGCGCCACCGTCTCTTCCTCCGCTCACCACAAAGCAGCTCCGAGCGCCACGGCCCCGGCCAGGCTTTGCGGCGGCCTCTCCCAAACCAATAGCCGCTGCACGGCAGTCACGGTCGCTTCCCAGCCTCTCAGGCGTCGCCTCAGCCGGACGGCTAGAGCCAACACCTCCTGCTCTTCCTCTTCCTCTTCCTCAGCTTCTGTCGCTCCGGGTCCGGGCACCGTCACCGCCTCCCCTTCCTCAGTGACTGGCACGCTCGGGCCTCCGCTCGCCATCGCTTCAGCCAGCGATGAGCAAAGAGGTAAGGGAAGAGCGGCAAGTTCGCCTGACAGCCGCAACCGGAAGTAGCAGCAACGGCAGCGGCAGCGGCAATGCACGGATGCCAACTTGGTGGTAAAGCCAATCACGTGAATCGCCCCCTTCGGCACGTGAAGGAGGATTTCCCCCCCCCCGCCTCCTCACACACACAGACCCTTCACGCATTTGCTATTTATGTAGTAGAGAGGCTAAGAAACCCAGTAGCGGATGCCTCTGTTCCCCAGACGCCTGCTCCAGATTGTCATAAGAACACTGTCCTCTGACGGAGCGGAGGAGCCCAGCAGTCATTTCCCCCCCCCCCCCCACTTATGCCTCTGACTCGGGGGCTAATTCCACGCTGCGCCAAGGCTTTTAAAAGAAGCCGCTCGTTTTCCCCTTTCCAAAGGCGAAGTTCGCCCTTCCCCGGATGGTTTATTATTTGGCCCTGAGGTGGAATTATAACGTCAGTCGCTCCGTAACTCATCCTACAACCAGCCCGCCAAGCCTTTTATGTCTGGCTGGTGCCCTGGAAGGGCGGCCGCAGAAAGACCGCCTCCTTTCCCGCCCTAGGAACAGGAAGGCGAGAAGCCGCGCCGGGCCTGGGTTCTTTCTTTTCGGAGGCGCAGGCCAGCCTAGAGCTGCCTGATCGCTGGGGAGTCGGGGTCCGGAGGCGGCGGCGAGGGGAAAGGCAACTAGATCTTGTAGTGACAGGTTCCCATCGCCGTTCCGCTCGAAACAGGGAGTCGCCTCCCGAAGCCTCTCCCGACGCCTCTTCGCGCTTCTCGATCGAGATGGACCTAGACAAGCTTTTTCTGGACGAGGAGGGCGCTTTCTCCCTGAGCGGCTTCCAGGAGTTCACGGTGAGTTGTCTTCGTCGTCACTCTCGTCCAACCCGCCCAAAGCTGTTTTTGCTTTGAATAGTCGCGTCCGTTTCTTGTTCTTCAGCTTTCCTCTCTCCGTCCTGTGCGCCGTCGCTGCCTTTCTTTGCTGATCGATAATCGATCTGCCACGCGCCCTTGCTTTTGATTCTGGCAGAAAGACGCGTCCGTTTTTATTGCTAGAACCGAGGTAAAGCTCTTTACTGAACTGCTTCAGATCACCCCGAGATCTACCAGCAAACTCCCTTTTTCCTTTCAGCCCAGTTTACGTTTTTTTCACCCTACAATAATGTTTCTGTATCAGTGAATCCATTCCTTTAAAACTCACACTGAGTGTGATTTGTGACATTCCTTAAAATTTCAGAGCCTGAATACCTACCTCCTTATACTGAGGAAATAAGAGATCAAAAGAATACATTATAAATTATAGTCAGAGGTATAACAAGGGCTAAACTCCTTTAGAAACAAGGACATTCTGTCGTGGAGACAGAGGCTTTGCCAGTTCATCACAATGGCATTTTAGGCATCTTCATAGGATCAACTGGACCTAGTCATTTCTGACTTCAGTATAAAGCCTGTTTACTGTAATTTTGATGGTCTGGATTACTCTAGAAAATGCTATAAATCAGTAGTGCAGAAAATAATATTTTATGTTTTCATGAATCAGCACAAAACCCTAGGGAAACTTTCTTAACACTATTGCAATTGCTTTGCCAGTGAAAAAAGGCATTGACAATCTCCAGCTAGACTGGAGGGAGGTGTTAAGAGAGGGCTGAGCTTAGACCAGGGGTAGGCAACCTCGGCTCTTTTATGACTTCAACTCCCAGAATTCCTGAGTCAGCATATGCTATGCTATTCTGGGAGTTGAAGTCCACGAGTCATAAAAGAGCCGAGGTTGCCTATCCCTGGCTTAGACACCTCGCTTTGCAGGAAGTGACAAAGGCCTGACCTCCCCAGAATCCCTGAAGCCTTATCCGACCATTCCCAAGGGAATGCAGTCAGTCTGGTTAAATTCTTCTAACACAGGTAACTAATAATAAAGCTTCTGCTTGAGATTATCCCTGAGGGTTCTGGTTGCTTGCACCTGACTCCTCCCCACACTTGACAGGGCTTATTGGCTTGTTTGCATTTATTAATGTTCTCATAAGATACAGACTCCCATGCAAAAGAAGTGAAGAGACTTTTTCTTGGACTTTTGTTATATTTGTTATGACTAAGTCAAATACTGATTTCCCTTAAATTTAACTTACACTTAGATTCAATTAATAAAAGTATCATTAATAAAATTAATAATATTTAACATGATTATTCTCCATTCACTAAAAATTATAATTTAATAATGTTTGGGATACTCCCCAGGCCGTATCAAAGCTTTGGAAGATCTCCTAAAACACTGGGAATCTAAGATCCTAGAATTGTGCATCTTTAATGCTTATAATGCTTATAAGAATTGTTGGAGATTGGTAAAGTCTTAAGAGAGTAGGAAAAGGGCTGGCCCAGTATTTACCTTTAAAAGTAATAGAAAAACTGGTTGGAAGCCATGTATTTTTATATATGCTTGCTTACCTAATTCTTCCCATTTTTTAAAATTTCTCTGTGCAATAAATAGCAAGTATATTACAACCTTGTTTATCTCTAGAGAAGCTAGAGTATAGTAGAGTGAAGTAGAGAATTTGGTTTGGTTTGTCGGCATTTGTGGCATGTGCACAAAATATGCTAAAACTAACAAATAAGCAGGGAATACTTGAGGTAGACATATGACATAAGTGTTATTCTTGGTAAATATCTATGGGCCGATTTGGTGATGACCATGGCATATGGAGGATTGAAATTAGAAATTTAGAGAGGAAGAAATGATAGAATGTGCGCTGAAAGAGGGGAAAAGGTGTGTGGTGCGTCTGTGAAATTAAGAAAAATTGATCTGAATGAAAGTTGTCTGACCTTGTTAGTTGAGTACATACATGGAAGTAAAGGTCTAAGTTTAATTCTCATTGAAAGAACCAAAATGTATGTCAGAAAATATTCACTGAAGTTCTAAATTATATCGGATGTGAAGGTATTGTGAAGGTTGCCTTATCAAGTGTGTTGCTGCCACAGGGTACTCCAGATTTTCAGCTGCATGTCATGTTAACTGCAGATATTTTGAATATGCATCTTGATCTCAAACTAGAAATACTGTATGTCTCCAAGCAGGCACCAGCCTTTCCTTTTGGAGGAAAAAATCTTTTGATCTTTTAAATCCAGACTTTAGAGAAACAGAGAAAAGAGAGCTTCCCCCCCAAAAATAAGTGGCCAACTTGAAAACGGCTAAAGAGAGCAGCCTCAAAAATAATTTAATTGGAATTAGAAAGTGTGCGTGCATATATGCGCCCTTCCCCCCCCACACAAATAATTTTGCTGTTGCTTTAGGCTGAAAGCAAAATCAAGGCCAAGATATTTGTGATTGAGTAAATTCATGAGATTCTAAAAAGTAATGATTGTTATGTTGCTGTTTATTTTGGTTTTATTATATAGTGGTTTTGAGTTTTACTCAGTGGTGGGATTCAAATATGTGAACAACTAGTTCTCTGTGTAGATGCTACTTCTGGAAGTCCGTTCTGGGCCTGGGCAACAAAAAATTAGCTACTGGTTCTGCCGAAGTGGTGCGAACCGGCTGAATCCCACCACTGGTTTTACTGCTGTAAACTGTTGTGTGGTGGTATCTGAATTTCATAAATAAATCAGCCAGCAAGCTATACAATAGTTGGATTTGTTTAACTTTAGCTTTGCCTATGAAGTCAACTGTTGTGGTCTGTGATCTCTGAATTACTGTAGTGTGGTATATGAATCCAGCAACTCCTAGGTCCTCAACAGGGCACTTTTGTAGGTTATTGATATGCTTTAACAGTAATTCTGTCTTTTCTGTGGGAAGATCCCTATTTTGAAACAATTTGCGACTGGAATTAACTCTGATTTCTTCCTTGTTACAATTTCAGAAGGGTTTTAAAATACAAGTTTTACTCAGGTTTAGAGAAAATTTTATTATTTTTATTGTACTGTTTTCACTATAAAGTTTGTTAAAATTAAATGACTGTAAGGAAATAAAGCCACTAGGATTACAGCATGTAAATGTGCAAAAATAAATGCATGTTAATGTAATAAATAAAGGGTAAGAAACTATGGCTTAATGCAATAGATAAGACAGGCTGAGGAATATATATGAAGAGGATAACTGAAAAAAGCAACTTTGCATAATGGTTTGGGTTTAATGGATTGTTAATTAGATTAGAGATAACACATGAGGGAAGGGATACAGTATATGAACGTTTTGGAAATTGAACTTTGGAAATTTGAAAAGACCCTTAAGGTATAATTCTACATGTTTGTTTATTTATTTATTATCCTGCTTTCTATTATTTTGATAAACAACTCAAGGCAAGGAAAATATGTAATACTCATTCCTATTTTTTGCTGTGATGTGAGTTGGGCTGAGAGAGTGATTGGCCCAACCAGCTTTCATGTTTAAGGTGGCTTTAGAACTCACAGGCTCCCATTTTCTAGCCTGATGCCTTAACCACTAGATTAGACCAAACTGGTTCAGTAATCTAGATCTAGTCAGATTTTTCTGAAGAACAAGTCACAAGATGAAAGTTGCTTATAATATTCCTACAGGTGCTTAGGACTTGTTTATGTATTGAAATGAAATCTTTGGTTGTTTGTAATTGGTGTGGGGAGAAAGATGGTGTGTTTGTGTATTATAGAGTTATGGATTTCTTTTTTTCAGTTCCTTCCCAAGCACCAGCAGTTGAGTGATCGTGTACGTAAACGACTTTACTATGGCTGGGATAAAGACAGTGCCCTTGATAATCTCTCAAGTCCAGTTGCAGGTGAGTTTCGTTTAAGAGAGGAAAAAATGAAATGCAGGAGAAGATTACAATCTATTGGAAATTGGACCAAGGCTTATCTTCACATATACACCCAGTTGGCTATATAATCAATTCTGTCAAATTCTAGCTTACTTTTAAAAGAGTTCATGAATTCTCACCTTGCTTTGTTCATTTGTTAGCATTGCTGGGCTAGTTAAACACCTGAGAGAGTAGTCGAGTATGTAAGAGTTCTCTGAATTTTGTTGTAAATATACAATACTTCACAGCTAGGCCCAAGCACTTAATAGAAAGCACCATGAACTAAATGGGAAAA